AGCACTTAATTTAGTTAATTTTGAATCAGCCTCTTTCATCTTGGCTTGCACTGGTACAAAGGAACAGAGAACCCTTTTCCACAGTACTCACTGTTTCTGTGACACCCTTCTAACATGTCCTTTGTGTAGGAACTATCCCACTGGTCAAACTCGCTCAGGTTTTTCACCTTCCCACCATTTTTACTATCCTTCTCCAAAACTGCATACACCAGGCTTTATTGATCATTGTGGAGTTCACTCAAGTTTTATAGTTAGACATTATACCAATGAACACAATCAGGGATTTTAACAACATACTGGCTTTGAAATTAAGTGAGTGGTGTCTCCACTCTGACCATGAATCCCCACACCATAATTTATACTACAAGTCATAATTAAAAATACATACTGATGATCATAATACATATTTAAAACCTCTCCAGATCCATTAATACTGTAGATGACACCATTCGATATCCTGCAAAACTCACTAGTCCAGCTCTAGAGCTTCAGCCCTGAACATTCTAGAGAAACAACTGCTTTAGCAAGGGATACATATCTGAATCTGCTTAAAAACTCAAATGAGGTGGGCTAATGCCATCCTTATGAAGTTTAACCATGCCAGGTGCAAGGCCCTATGCCTGGGTTGCAGCAATCTCAGGCACAGCTAAAGGTTGGGCAAAGAAGAGATTCAGAGCAGCCCTGCGGAGAAGGACTTGGGGGTGTTGGTTGATGAGAAAATGAACATGAGGGAGCTGTAGCGTCTGCTTGCAGGCCAGAAAGCCAACCGTATCCTGGGCTGCATCAAAAGGAACGTGACCAGCAGGTTGAAGGAGGTGATCCTGCCCCTCTACTCTGCTCTCGTGAGACCTCACTTGGAGTATTGTGTGCAGTTCTGGTGTCCTCAACATAAGAAGGACATGGAACTGTTGGAACAAGCCCAAAGAAGGGCCACGAGGATGATCAGGGGACTGAAGCACCTCCCTTATGAAGACAGGCTGAGAAAGTTGGGGCTGTTCAGCCTGGAGAAGAGAAGGCTGCGTGGAAACCTCATAGCAGCCTTCCAGTATCTGAAGGGGGCCTATACAGATGCTGGGGAGGGAGACTTCATTAGGGACTGTAGTGACAGGACAAGGGGTAATGGGTTCAAACTTAAACAGGGGAAATTTAGATTGGCTATAAGGAAGAAGTTCTTTACTGTGAGGGTGGTGATGCACTGGAATAGGTTGCCCAAAGTTGTGAATGCTCCATCCGTGGGAGCCAGTTCAAGGCCAGGTTGGGCAGAGCCTTGGGTGGCATGTTTTAGTGTGAGGTGTCCCTGCCCATGGCAGGGGGGTTGGAACTAGATGATCTCCAACCCTAACTATTCTATGATTGTACGAATTACACTGCACCAGTTCCTCATTCTGGTAAAACAAAGCTCACTACCTCTCACTAACACAGCACAGCTGAAGACAGTACTAGAGCAATGCAACTCTGAGATTTGATGTGCGCTGTAAGTTTCCACGAGACAGGGCAGCTAAACTGCATGGGAACCTGGGATTTTCTGTACCCTAACCATGACTCCAGATACAGGATCTGAAAACCACTCCTGGCCCACCAGTCTAGAGATACGTTTTTGCTGATTTGCCCTGGTTTCACTAAAGCACATCACAAATGTCATTCAGTACTTTTACCCCATAAAGTTCAGCAACTGCTTGTGCAGTGTCTGCAGAAAGGGGACTGGACTCACAGGGCTAGAGCCTGCACCAAGACAGGCATGCTTACCAGCATACTGCCCAACATCCAGGCAGATCTTCAAACATGCTCCCAACGCTGGAAAATTTCACCTTGGTGCAACAGGAATTGGAGCTTCTCTCCCAGCTTGGTACCAGCCTCTCTGCCCAGCCAGCACCAACCACAATGGGCAATCAGGGCATAAAGGAGACATATGCACAATGACAAAAGCTGTAATGGCCACTGTACCCAGGCACCATGGAGACTGCATAACAGCAATTCATAGCAGTTTGCAGCTGTATCTACAAGAGCTTCAATGAGACACAGTTTTAGCTTCATTCTCCTGGATGTGTCCTTCATTTCCACCCAGGAGTTTACCCAGCAGCATAGAAGGGCTGCACACCTCTGGCTGGGACTGCTGGCAACATGGGACACATGCACAACCAACATGCTCGTGACCTCCACACGGCACACACATGGTGGGACTTACTTCTGGGAAAAAGGCTTACCCACTACAAGACACCTTTCTTCAATCAAGAGACCCCCAAAAAGCCTATAACCTTCAGCAACCTATAATATACTCCAACTGCAGAGCTAGGAAAAGAGCCCGTACAGTCCAGAGGACATCCAACAGCAGGAAAGCCCCTGGCACCATTACTGATGGGGACATAGCGCTGCCACTATCCTGGACATGAGGTCAGATGTCCCTGACCTGGCAACTTTTCCCAAAAAACAACCGCATAAGCTGATTCAGACAGAAAAAGAAAACCTGAAGAAAACAATTAAAGGAAAACCATATATGAAAGTCAACAACGAGAGGGCAACAGGCCTGAAGCCCTTATTAGCAGCACCAGCATCTCAATTGCAGCTACAGGCAGGATTTGACACTGAGGGTAGAGGATCAATGCCAGGTGGCTCTATGGCCACCACTCACTATCACCTGCTGCCAGCCCTTCCCAGAAAAGGCCTCCAACAAAGGCTAAACAACTGAAAGAGGGGAATAACATAGCTAATAAATTGAGGAGCGATAGGATGAAAGGTCGTGGAGTGGGCATGGGGGAAATGGAGCAGGCCAATGGGCAGAAAAAAGTTGTCAACAGTAACCTTTATCTGTAGACTGAAATATTTCACAAAGAAAATCACATATTCCAGAACATTATGAAGCCTTGCTGCACCAGTCCTGCTGCAGCAAGGATGGGGATGACCAGAAAGTCCCTCACACCCCCAAGCTGTGCTGCTGCACAGCAGCATGGCTTACAGACAGGCCAGTGACCATCATTTTCCTATGTGAACACAGCTGCACTGTTAATATAAAGCTGACATGCTGTGTCCTGTTCCCCAGCTCCACATAGTTACCTGCCTTCCTAATATCCCATATCTGTAATTATTTGGTGAGCCAGCACCAGCTCCATGTATCCAGGGACTCCCCACCCACTCTCACATCTTGCCCTGAAAAAACCACTCCTGGAATGTATAAGAACAAACTCAAGAGGTAAATGAGGAAATAAAGAAATTGAACAAATCCAGAGTGTTTTAAAAAAATGGAACACTTCCATATGAGACCCTGCATTTCAGATGGGTCAAACCCACTTTGTACACATGGGGCCACGGTGTTGTGGATGTGCAGGAAGACATGTTAGCCAACCTGGTAGAGCCCGTAAGCTCTTAAAGCTTTCATGTATCAGTCACCTAGCAAAACAATAAAACACCACACAGGAAACCAACCCAAAACTAACAAACAACTGGGCCACAGAACCAACTGGTAGAGGCGCAGAAAACAAACAAAGAAACAAACACGAAAAATAATCAAAACTAAGCAGGAGAATCCCACGCTCGTCTATTTCACCGGCGGGGCCAAACTGCACCTCGAGGTACAGTAGCCAGAGCAATTATGGCAGGAGTTTCTCCATCAACACCTCCTACTCCGGAGCACTGCCTTCTCCCCAGTGCAGCCTCAGGGCGTGGAGAGTGCTCCCGAACAATGGCAGGAATAAGATTTGCCTGTTCAAAAGGGGAAGGCAAGAGAAGGGGGAGAAAAAAAAATATATATATATTTAAAAAAAAAAAAAAAAAGCCCTGGATGACGTAAGGGTGTAGAAAACTTTTACGTCCTTACCTGCTGGGGGAGGGTGAACCTCCCCTGGCGTATAAAAAGCTGCCAGGGCTTTACTCAACTTGTTATTTACTACGGAGCCCCAAGCGAGGGGCCGGAGGGCATCAGTTGCGGCGCCGCAGCACTTCAGCCGCCGCGGGAGGGAGGAAGGAAGGGAGAGAGGGATAGATGGTTGGAAGCAGCCCCACCCGGGCCAGGTGCACCTGCGGCTGACAGCACCGCACAGCACCGCACAGCACAGCCCCGCCGAGCCCTACGGAACCGCGGCCCGCGGGCAGCTCCCACCCGGCGCGAAGCGGGAAGGCGTGCAGCGCAGCCGCTGAAGTACGGGGAAAGTTTCCCTCTGCCCCGCACCCGGGAGCTGCCCTCGCACCGGGCCGGGCCCCCACAGCCGCGGCGCTCCAGGCGGAGGGAGGAGTCAGACGCGGCCCCCACCCCCCGGACGGCCGGCAGAGCTTCCCGCCCCGGCCGGGGGCTCCAGCTGTTGCACAGCTGCCTCGGCGGGCGGAGGGGGGGGGACCGGGGGGAGAGAGGAAGGGGGCAAGTTATTATCTGCAACAATACCTCGGGGGGAGGAGGCAGCGGAGGCGAGCGCGGCGGCGGCGGCGGGAGGAGGTGCCGGGGGGAGGTGGGGCCGGGGGCGGTGCCACGGCCGAGCCTTGGACGGCCCCGCCGCGCCCGCCCCTCGGCCCCGCCGCCGGCCCCTTCCGCCCGCCGGCCCTCTCCGCGCCGTGCGCGGCTTCCCCGCCGCCTCTCTCGGCAGGCCGTCCTGCGCTCCATGCGCGTGTTCCCCCATCCAGTGTCCTGCCGCACACCCGGCATCCCCCCGGGGGCCCCTCCCGCGCTCCGCCTTCTCGCATCCCTCCCTCGGGTCTCCAGGAAGCCCCTCCCGTGCCCCTCCGCGTCCCCCCGGCTGCAACTCTCCTGCTTCCTTCGTCCCTCCCTCCGGCCCCCCCGCGTCCCACTCGACCCCTACCTCGCGTCGGGTGTCGGAAAAGAGGGCCGGTAACCCCGAGCTCGGCTGGGCTGCAGGGAAACAAAAAGCGGCCGCTCCGCTGGGCTGCCGCGCTCTGCCCGGGGCTGACGTCAAGGGCCCAAATTCCTGCCTTTCCCTGCAGGCAGATTTGTCCATGTAAGGGTTGGGGCCGGGGCCGGGGCCGGGGCGGCCGCGAAACGGGAGGGGGCTGCGCTGTGCGCACAGCGCGGGGCGGCAGCTATCGACACCTCGAGGGGACGCGACGGTGCTGGAGGCAGCCCTGGTCCTGTAAGCATCACCCTCTTGTCCTGAAACCCGGGGACTTCGGGGGGTGTTGGGCCCAGAAATGCGCACCGTGCCTTGCAGTATTGGGCTTTTCACACAAGATTCGTCCAGGGCTCCCTATGGCGTTTTGGGTGCTCTTCCAAGCAGCTTTATTCTCTGTCCTTCCCCGGCCGAGGTGCCTTAAAAGGTGAGAAGAGGTAAAAGGTGCTCGGAGTTACAAAGCAGTTGCCTACTCAGAAATTCAAAACCTGTCGAGCATACTAAAGAGAGGGGGGAGGGAACTCTTTCCTGATCCCTTTCTATTTGGTTGCTTTGTGGCCATTTATAAGGACTGCTATTAAAATAATGTGGGGTTTGAGTGGGATTGTTTTTCTAATGGAATATTACCCTTCAAGTAGCTGTTGGGTATCTGCATTTGCCCTGAAGAGAAGGGGAAGACGGGAGGGTTATGTTGCATTCAGGCAAAGGGGAGAGCTGCCAAGCTTACTCATTTGGAAGGAGATTTTTGGATGAGATTTTAGGCACTTCAAATCTCTTTCATTTTGACAATAAAAGACATTGCTGTGTACTTTCAGGAGATATTTACGATCTGATCCCATTACCAGCTTTAATGTCCCTGGTCACTGCTTGACAGCCCCAGGAGGGAAAGTTTGCCCATAAGGACCCAAAAAAGGACATTAAGTGCCTAAAAGACTTTAGAAGCTACAGTATGGAGTTGTGATCCAGCCTCCCTGCCCTTTCACCTGACTGCCAAAGAGTCTAAAACAAGCAAGTTCACTCACACATTTTCCCAGGAGCTCTGGCTAACTGGAGACCCTAGGAGATACCACTCCTTCCCCAGCAGGCCCCACAGCAGGGGAAGTGTTACATATCCCAAATTCTGTCCCCAGTGCAAGTCCCCCGTTTGTGCTTGATTTGGTGTCCTGCATTGGCCCTCTGTACCAGGGGTGCTAAATTCCCCCCTCCTGAGGGATGGAGAGGGCTGCTGGGGCCAGATGCTATCTTAGAAGCACCGCAGCTGAATCTGCATGAGCCTGTCAGTCACAGCCACAGACGTTTTCTAAGCATTATGACTATGACTAGAAATACCCTAGCCTTGTCATAGCCGCCTACCCTGTGTTTAAACCCTGCTGAGATCCAAAACTGAAGCAGAATAGTGCATGAGTCACCAGGGCCCCATACCGTAGGTGTACCTAGAGTGCCAATAGCGTTCTGTGAACATGGCCTGTTGTGAAAGACACGGGCATGACTGCTTTCTAAAGCACTGGTGGATGAAACTGTAGCAGCAGCTGAGCAGCCAAAGCCTTTGCCTGAGGCCCTGTAAACCTGGGTTCAGTTCCCTCCCTGGAGAACCTACAGTTCATGTATTTCCTCCCTGAAGAGCTGAGCATTTCGACCACCAGGCTGCAAGGTTGAGTTCCTTCTTCATCTGCTTAAAGGACAGCTCAAGATGGTATTTTCTGCCACAGGAGGCAGGCGGTCATCATGAAGGACTTCCTGGTACTCATGTCTGTCATCCTCTGTGTGGGGCACTCCAAAGAGCCCAGATGTGTAATGCTCTGGAGAAGCAGATTTACAGAGGGATTGTTGCCTGGGATTTCTTCTTCTCTGTTCAGTCTTTCTTTCAAATCTGCAACAGCCCCTGTGTGTGTCAACTGGTATCTAGGGGAAGAATTTAAAACTGAAAGAAACTGCTTGGCCCAAGATGAGAAACAAGTGTTCTCCATTTAGTATTTCAGAGAAAACCGGTGGTCAAATATTTTCCTTGTCCCATGGCCAACAGTTATTGCTTCTTTATCCATTGAGCTTGTGCAATTTTCCAGTCATGTTAGCAGAAGAGAGAATGCTCTGACATCCACAATAGCCTCCTTCAAATGATCCCAAAAGTTTCAAGCTTTGAGCCTCTTGAGTGTGAGATAGTAACTACTGCTACCTCTATTTTACAGGTAGATGAACTGTGACTAATCCTCTGCAGCACAGCAGAAGAAGTTTGATTTGCAGCCCATTACCCTTGTAACGTGCTGCCCAGAATGGTCACTGCCTTGTCAAACCCAGTGTGAATTTTCTAGGGGCTTTTTTCAGTTTCCTATCACAACCAACATCATCCACTTTGGAAATGGAAGTAGAAAACTTAAAGTGTTGAGGCTGGCTGTGAAAATCTGTTCTTTGCCTGGAAAGAATCAAAAATACTGGCAAAGTGCAATCATTCCTTCAATAATACCTACCGCACCCTGCACCATAGCAGCAAAATGAATTAAACAGCAAAAGACTGGAATGCCTGACATTACATAGGCCACTCAGGAGGCAGTAACACAAGAGTCAGCCTGGGCCAATATTAATTCAAGGAAATTAAGTTTTTTAGTGGTTAAGGTTCATGACTAGAACCCTGGAAACCTGGCTTCTGTTCCTACTTTTCCTCTGTTGTATGACTTTAGACTGGTCAGCTCATCTTCTTGCATCTGACGGAGTCCCTGTAAACCCACAGTGCAAAGTCTGGCATGGGGAATGACACATCATGACCTCCCATCAGACTGTATGCAGCCCAGTTCTTACAAAGTTTCCAGAAGTCAGCAGGTGAAACCTTGCTTTTCAGAGTTTGGGTCTCTTGCTTTTCAGTGAGATTTCAGATGAAAAAGTCACTAAAATAAAACCAGAATGGGAAAAGGCCTTAGTAAACTATGGAAATAGATCCCTCAGTTTGTAAAGCAGGAACAGCATTGTCTAAACCATACCTGACAGCGTTTAACCTACCCTTCTCATAAGGATATCTAGAGAATCCATTCCAGAGCTTCACAGTTAGAAAAACTTTATCTCTAAACACAAGTCATTTTTGCTGCAATTCAGCTCTTAATCAGGTGAAGTTGTGGGGATCTGATGTATTCCCTCAATTCCAGAACAACAGGAAAGTCGCCCACCTGGTGAACTAATCCTTCTGTGGGTAAAAGCCAGAGAAGCTGGAAAACACACTAAGCACGTGTTCTTGGGACAGTTGCCACCTAATTTTCAGACAAAGATTGGCTGGAATTAGCCTTAAATTGCCTGGAGACTCCTCTGCCCAAAAACACAGCACTTTTCACCCACCTCGCCATAAAGACACACATTTCCATCAAGACACATGCTGCAATGGCACACTTGACCCTTAAGTCTCCAGAGGGTATTCTTGGAAGCACAAGCAAAATCTGAGCTCAGAGCAATAGCATTCCTGTGGCACTGCGGAAGGAATGAGGGAACACCAGCATGGATACTAGGCAGACAGGAGAGAAAAGACCCAACCTGCAAGTCTGAATTCATTTCCAATCTGAGTGCATGTTTCTGATTTAGAGAAACACACATGCTTGCTGCCTGGTGGAAGGAATCTAGGAACAGCAGTGGGCCAAGCTTTCTCATTCCCCATTTGCAGGTATGTTTGCATCCAGACAGGAATGCAAGGCACATACCGGCCAGGCATTACTAAATCCACATCACTGACAGTGATGGAGTCTGGGCCAGAATCACAAGAGAATCTTCACTGTTGAGAAATACAATTTCCAACAACTCCACAACTTTCTACAAGTGCATCAGAGATAGTGACTGCCATCAAACCCTGTTTCTCTGTACACATCTTAAGTTGCATGTGGTTCACCAGACACTCAGTTTTACCTGGTGATCAGTCCTATCTAATTCTGTATCATTTCACTGCTCAATATGGTACATTTTGGGTAGCTCAGGGAAGTATAAATCTTGCACCCATTTCAGGCTCTGCTCCCTGTTCTGCTTGGTCCACCATCCATGCTGTAGCTGCCTGTGCTACACTTAGAAGGAACGGCAAAGCTCTGTAAAACTACTAAATCCCAATGCTAAAAAGTGCACTTGAGCAATGTGCCAGTGTAGCATACTTAATTTTAAGTCCAGTTTAATTTCAAATCCAGTTTGAGCCCTGAGAGATTTTAGCTTAGGTTTAAGTGTTCTGTTGAACAGGGGTGGATTTAAGGATTGAAGTGTTTTGCTACACTGGATCTTTGGTTAATGAGGAAGAAGGGTTGTTAGTGTCTAGAAGAAGGAGCTGCCTAGAGCTCTGTGGCCACAGGCAAGCCATAACTATCACTAGTCCATTTTTCTAGTCAATTTTGATGAAATTGGCACAAGGAATTGGTAAAGAAGTTGACAATTTCATTAAGAATCTTCACTCTCTTTGTCTTAGCTTAGTAGGGAAAAAAGTAGGGTTTATAGTATCTCATCAAAATGATGTGATATAATGAAAGCAGAAGTCACCAGACTTTGTATTTTACACCATCTGGTATCTTGTACAGTATCTCTCTAATAGTGAATATCTCCTGTCCAGATTTTAGCACTGAAATCATGAGTGCCTTGTTTTACAGGAAGGGAATTGGTCTCATTCTTCACAGAGTCTATACTGAATAAATGAAGAAGTACCCCAGTATGAAAAGAAATGTTTGTGGTAACAAATATTTTGGGGGATATTTTTGCATAGGCTCTGACCTCCCTGTTGGGAATCAAAGCAAAAATATTGAATGTACTAAGCAGATGTCTTCTCCTAGTGACAGCAAGATGAGCAGAGACAGCTGGTTAGAAGAACAACAACAACAAAAACACATCATCATTCCTGCTTTGACTCCAGAAAATCTTGGACTTGTTGTCAAGGAAGAAAGCTATGTATGTGAGAAGCCAAGAAAGAGACAAATATTATTGAATCTGGTAGCATTTTAGTGAATGTGCTGGAAATAACTTACGTAGGAAGAAAAACTGGATGCACTCCATTGTCTATTAAGAGAATGCCTTTTCTTATTTCCACAGGGACCTATAGCCTATACAGTTATTAACACATTTACAAGATGTATATTTTAAATATGTTGCTTCACTCATCAGTCTTGCGGGCTCTTCTTCTCAAGTAAATAGAGTTACAGCACGTAAAAATGTGTAAAGCCACATAAATATAGTCTCTGCAAGCTAGAAACGCCAACTGTGAATTTTGCACGTAACTCCTTCAATCAGGGAAGATGGGCGTAGTACAGAGACACCTACAGAGATCCAAAATATTAGGAAGGGAGAAGAAGGGAAAATTAGATTCCCCCTGTCAAAATATGAGATAAATAATTCACACACCAGAGAAAAAAAACAAACACCAAACCAAGTCAAACCAAACCCAAACAAATAAACAAACAAAACCCACCAAAAAAAAACCCAAACACAAAAACAAAAACCAAACAAACAAACAAAAAAAAAAAAACACAAAGAGGGGACATGGGGGGAGGGAGCAAAAGAAGCTAAAATTAAAATTTGAAGAGCTGTTCTGAATGAAAAATGATCTTAGCTGTGGTGAAAAAAAAAAACAGAGAGGGGGTGTTTGAAAAGATTACAAAATAAGCCAGTGACCTGGCCTCCCTGCTCAGAGGTAGGAAACTCTTTGTCTTGATAGCTTTCATCTGAACAAAACTGAACTCAGTTTGGTCCCTGGACATTTCCATTTCCCTGAGTAGACTTGAGGGAAAAGCTACAGGACTACAGAATTGAGTGAAAAGCCGACTAAATAAAAAACTGTGCAGTTTGGCTAATGCCAAAGACAAGTAACTTGAGGTGGATGTTCTAGGAGAGCTAGGTAGACCCAAATCCCATGCCATGATATAGTGCCTTATGCAAGAGCAAAGGTCTGGATTTGCTGGCTCAGGAGGTGTCTTCCATGGAGTGCTTCAAAATCCCTAGCCATCTCCTACAGATGTCCTAAATAGTTTAAAGCCTTAAAGAAGCAAAAGTTTAAGATGGTACAGGAGTAATAATTGATGGTTATGACCAATCTGACAGACCAGCTTGTAAAGAGAGGACAATACAGACAAAAGGAGAGGACATGGCTGCTGGGTGTCCAGTTCTTGGCTGGCAGCTTTGCCCATTCTCTACCATGTGATTAGGCTGTCTGTGTATCGTCATTTTCTTTGTAGGAAACCAGGGGTAAGTCTGCTGCTCTGCAACAGAGCAGATGTGGGACCTTGGGAAAGTTGCAGATTGAGCTAAGCTGGAAACAGCTTCCACCATTTGCCAATATCTTGGAGAGTCTGGAATCTTTCCCATCTCTATTGTGACAAAACCAGGACTTCTCAACATTTTTTGAGCATTTTTCTGCCTTGTAATAAAGGACAGAAAGCACACAATGAAAAACAAATCACAGTGCCAGAACCGACTGAGGATCAGGGCATCATTCTGCCTTCTTTAATTCCCCATCTTGCTAGCCTCAGCTTCAAGACCTGACCTGCAGTCTCCCAGCCACTCCAAGAACGACCATGCCATGATACCAAACCATTTTTGCCAGAAATTCCATGCTGATTCCAAGAAATATTTCCTAGAGTGTCTTGCTGAAGTGGATACACTCCCACACACGCAACATGAAAGGAGTCATGTCTAACAAACAAACATTTTCTAATGAGAAACATTTACCCAACATGTTCCTCCCCAGTGACTCTGGAGCTTTATGCCTCCGTGCACCATTTATAAAAAGAGGTAACAGTCCTTCCCAGCCTCTGGAAGAAAACACTTGGATAAAGCTACCTCCATTAGCTTACCCTAACAGTTCTGTATATCTTATAGCATGTAAGTATAGACTGAGTCAAAAATTTTTATAGACCCATTATAACCCATGTGTTTCATATAATCATAGAATGGTTTGGGTTGGAAGGGACCTTAAAGATCACCTCGTTCCACCCCCTCTGCCACAGGCAGGGACACCTTCCACTAAAACAGGTTGCTCCAAGCCCCATCCAACCTGGCCTTGAACACTGCCAGGGATGGGGCAGCCACTTCTCAGAGCAATCTCTGCCAGTGTCTCACCCCCATCGTAGTAAAGAAGTTTTTCCTAATATCTAATCTAAATCTACTGTCTTAAAGCTTAAGGCTGAAAGACCGTAAGTTTAAGGTCCCCTTATTCTATCACTACACGCTCTTGTACAAACTTCTCCAGATTTCTTGTAGGCCCCCTTAAGGTATTGGAAGGCTGTTCTAAGGTGTCCTTGGAGCCTTGTCTTAGACTGAACAACCTCTGTCCATGGGCTGCTCCATCTGTTCCATTCCTCTGAGGGAAGCAGAGTCAATGCGGGGCATCCCAGCAGCCCTGGGCTCAGCCATCCCCACATTACATTTCCTCACACCATCAAGAATTTGGATCACCAAGGAGCCAGCCAAGCCCTGCTGCCAGTGAGGTGACAGATCTCTGGCATGGAGCTAGGCTCAAACTGCTCATGAGCTGCTTGCGGCTGGAGAGGAATGTCTGAAGAGAGCTAAACCAGATTGCTCATAGATCTCTTCCAAATTGCTTGCCTCTAATCTAGCGGACAACTTGAGAGTAAACGTGCACTGGGAGTACCATTTCCCCTCTCTTCAGCATAATAACCCAAGAACATTGGGTTTGTGCACAGCTGTTATGAGATGGATGCACTGGAAAATCCTTAGGATCTTATTGATGCCTTGGCAAGTGCATAACATGTCAGAGTCATCTACATGTATCCTTTCCCCTCTTGCAGGTTATGCATACTTCAGTTTGATGCTGTACACCCACCTCAGCCACAGCAACTGCAAGAATGCCAAACAATGGCTGGCACACTGGACTGAGCTTGTGAGCATGAACCAATACACTTAGAAATACCTGTTCTGCACAGGGCTTTTAGAAAGGTTCTACTGGCTTCAAAACTTCAGGGAAGCTGACAGTTTGGTGTCACCTGTATTTTCCAGGCCCACACCTACCACAGGGTTAAAAAGAAAATAATTTCATTTGTTATTTGCATTATATTGCCTATGCTTCAGCTGCAGTTTCAGCATTTGCAGAACTTCTGGAGGCCCATCTCAGGTTCAACTTCTTACCCTTCCCAAGCATAGGCTGAAAAAATGTCACTTTTCTCCACTATTAAATCAAAAGCTGACTACATCCATGTGTCAGCTGTTTGCCACCCTCTGTTCCCTCCCTCTGGGCAGCTGACCAGAGATAATGACCTATACCCTTGAAGAATTTGTTTTATTTAGCATTACAGAGAAGAGGGGTTTAAGGCAACAAGCAACCTAAGAATATAACCATTCCCACCCTATCTTATTACAATCAGAGAGATCAGCTTGCACCTTCACTTGTGGGAACACAGCAGAATCAGCCAGCTCAACTCTCTGAATGTCAAAAATTTATCTAGGCGCTCTCCTGCTCTGCCTCTGTCCTAAACAGACTGGTTCTAGTGCCTTCCAAGTAAGACCTTTTGTGCATTCTTTGCCTTCAAGTAGGAGCAACAAGCTACTCAGCCTTGCTTTAGCCACGTCAGTGCTGCTTCAGAGATGTTTAGATGAGGTAGCCACTCAGCATACATGGTAGCAAGACACTGACAGATGAAATGAATATCAAAAGGAAGCATTTGAGAGTACCAGAACTCTGCCGTGGCCAACTAGAGTATTGCACCAGTTGACACCGTTGGTGTTGAACGCCAACTGCAAGCTCTGCACAAGGATCTGGGACTGGTACACACCCTGCATCAAGCCTCGCCCCATGATGAGACAGGCAGACAAACGAGAAAAATAGGGCCCTGACCCCTTCCTGTGATTAGATCATTATAATGGGTAAATATTTTCCTAGATAGAGCGCCGAGATAAAGGACTCGTCTGAAATGGAGTTTGAACAAGACTCAGAAGGGCTATCCCTACCTCATAGTTCTTTGTGATGTCTTTAACAAATGAATGCCTTTCCCCCCAAGATACCTAGGATATTAAAGGGGAATTGTTAATAGCTAAAGATGAAGAAGTGGATCTCACAGAACAAATTTTTCATTGAGTAGGAAGAACAGCATAAGAATTGCAGCTTGACTTTAGTCTACTTTCAAATCATTCACCAGTAAATATACAGAATGGATTTAGTAACAGGTACCAAGGGTTAATTCCCAGAGGACATTACAACTCTACACCATTCACTCTAAATATTTACTAAGGAGCAGAGAAAACTGAGTGGTAGAGTCCCAGAAACTGGCTTACTCAGATCTCTTTAATAAGAGATTGTTTCTGCTCAGAAAAATGATTGAGTTTTTTTTATTATTAAAATCAGTGTTCTCATGCTATAGCAAACAATGATTAATCATTCCCTATTCATTTTCTCTGCATTATTAATGATTTTATGGCCTCTGCTCTATCCTCTCGCTTGGTGTTCCAATCTCACCCTGAGCTTTCTCAGGGTTTGGGGCCTTTGTATTGGAAAAAACTGGTTCATAAGGTTGCCTTTGAGCAACAAGTCTTACTTAAATCTCACGTAATACCAAGAATGTTCTCCGGTATTTGACCTCTTGGTGACTGAAACAATGTTCTTCAGACACAGTAACCTTGGTGTTTCAAAGTTGTAACCAGCACCTGTGGAGTTTCCAAAGAGGCTCAGCCTTCCTTGGCGAGCTTTTAGCAATTGCTCACGTTTGATTGCTTTGTAATTATATTTGTAAAACCTAGGATTTAAAAAAATTAAAAATTTTTAAAAATTTTTAAAAAATCACGTTTCAGAATAGGAGGGGATTTATGGAAGCTGCAAGACAAAGGAAAACCTTTCTTTCTTTCCCTCTTTCCTCCTTTCCTTCTTTCTTCATTGTTGCCTTTGGAAGGCAGCCACTGAAGTTTCCTTGTCAGTAATACAGGGATTTGTAAATAGAACAAAGAGCTTCCTCGCGCTAAGGCGCGTTATATAACCCCAGTGCAGCCACGGTGTGTTCTTTGCAGGCAGTTCCCTTGAACTTTGCATCTCGCTCCTCCTGAGAACAGTCCTGCATGCCAGATCGAACAGATGTGGCTTCCTTTAGGAAAGGTTTTCTGCTAGGGTCATGCTGACTTCCCTTTCAGAGCTTTCCAGCCTCATGCGCTGTTTGCTCAAGGGATTACTGCAGTGGTCACTAACTCCTTGTGCTACTGTTAAGCTTCTCCTCACCTGCTGGCTGAGCTGAACGAGTGCTGAAATCTCTGTTCCACAGAAAGATCTGACATTTCATGTTTTCCTGAATCAAACCGGAAAGTTGCAATTTCCTTTGAACCCAAATTCTGAGAAACGTAATTTCAGGAAGAGCAGCCTTTTGTTTGGGTGTTACCTACAGCTTTTTATAGGAGAATTAAGCTAGCTTTAAATTCATCAAGATCCAAGTGATCCCAAATACACCCAGGCAGCACCCACTGTTGCAAAAGACACCTTGGGAGCTGTGGACTCTGCCAAGGATGTTCTACCAGAGAGATGTGAGGAAACATGTTCAGAGATGTGATGCTGACCAAGATGTGGTCACCTCGCCCAAGGTACTTACTCTATTATTGTTGCTGCTTTGATTTCACCAGTGCACTTACATATTTCAAGGTTGCAAGCATTTAAATTCTTATTTTCTAGCCTCACTGAAAGCAAAGGCTCCTACTATATCTCACTAAGGATAGTGACAACAGGTTGTAGAAGCCCAGCATGGTATTTCCAACACACTTAGTGCATATCAAATGACAGTAATTTAAAACAGTGCAGCTTTAAGAAGTTTTAACTAAATCAGGCCACAAGGCTATGCAGAATCTTTTACTTAAGTATCAATAGAGCTGTCTTTTTAGTTCTGTTTGGTTAGAAGTGTTTTAAATGAACAAGAATAAGACATTCTATAGCTGATAAAGAGTATCAAATACAAAAGTTCACAATGGATGAACTAAGCTGATATAAGCTTGTGTGTAGGCAGCTGAAGCAGCAACAATATAGCAGGAAAAGCAGCCCTACCCTGTGAACAAATGAGAAAAACAAAACAAAGAAAACAATGGAGGAAAATCTGGCTGCTACCTGGCCTTCATGGATAAAAAGTTTAAAATAAAAGGGGGGAGAGGGGAAGAGAGGGAGGAAAGAAACTGAATTGTACTTCAAGACCAAAATCTCATCAGACTCAAACTGAGTGTAACTCCCACATTGCAACAGTTTGCAGGTCTAATAGGCACAAAGCTATTCCTTCACCCCAAAACCAAACACAAAAGTCACGGAAACCCATCATGCCAATCCTGTGGCTGCTTTCCGGAGGAGAATCTCTTTAAATGTCAATGTTCCTTTTGTTCTGTGCACCCTTTATAATGAGTCTATCATCTGTTTGGTAAAAGATCCAATGAAATATGTAATAAGGTTATCTCACCATCTCTCTCTATTGTAAAGCCATATCTCCTCTTCCACTCATTAATTATTGTCTTCCATTTCCTGTGTCAGATCTAAATCAGAAAATAGGGACTGAAGACTTACAAGCTTAATAACTTACCATATATCAGATGAGCTGTGGTAATTCTCCATGTGTTCCCTCTTAGCCTGCAATAAACAAAACCAGTGTGACTTTGAGGTGCATAGGCCTGCAGTCTGTGTAATTAAGTTTAACCTTATAGAATCATAGAATCATGGAACAGTTAGGGTTGGAAAGGACCTTAAGATCACCTAGTTCCTCCTTTTATTGTCAGCTAAGCTGACAGTGATAGTTACCGTGGCTCAGTTGATGTTCAGTCCTCATATTGCAAGGGTTTGTCTTAAAATCCTGGGAGCAGAGCTCTACCACTGTAACTACCTGGAAAGCTACAATGATTTATGTGCTGTCAAAATACATCTAAAAAAAAAAAAAAAAAACACACACGCACAAAAAGCACAATTATATTTTTATCAGCCAATGCCCCTTGGTTTGCAGTTTTTCAAGCATGAACAGCTCAAACTTTGGATCAAGAAGTGAAGCAATCTGTTTCTGAAGTGCAAACAGGGAAAAGTTATATGAGTCTTCTAGCAATTTCAGGCAAATACATCACAGAAGCAGCATGCTTAGCCTTTTTACTGTGCATCTGTCTGAGGTTTCCAGTATGATTTCCCTGATATATAGTAAGAGTCAAAACTCTAATCTGTTTTAACTCTTTTTTATTGTCTCTACAGTACTAACTTTGAAAAATGGTCTTGTCCCCAAAGAACTGCACAGAGTCCATGTAGGGAAGCTGTTAAAATAAATGCGTTACTTAAAAATATTGCAGAAGAATACAGCTCTGAGGGTTTAGAGCTACAACATACAGATATAAAACAGAGCAGCTAAAGTAAGAGTGGAGGTCATACTACAGGAGAGAAGTCTCTGTCTAGCAGTTGTTGCACATGATCTCCAAAATCAATAGTTCCTACTCTTCTTTCTCAGGACTGCTGCATTTTAATAAATTACTCTTCCCATGTTAATGTCCTTCTGTCTTCCTCCTCACTCTCCTCAGTGCACACTGAGCTGATTCATAAAGTTTATTCTTTCACTGTATTTGGGTGCTTTCTGGAGACCTTATTTGTACTGTTGTGCCTGAAAGACAGCTGATTTATAGACACTAAGACAGAGTCAAGCACTGCTTTGGCTGCCCTACCTGAATATTATATTTTGTGCACACTGTATTCCAACCTCTGCCCATGCAATGGTCTGATTTTAGATAATCTGTATGTTATTCAAAGAAGAGAGCATACTTTCTGCCTCTTAGAAAATCTTCTGAGATCCTCCTGAGTAAAAATATGCTCTTTCACCTGTCTTCCTTGCAAAGCAGTGATACCTGTCCAGACACTAATTGGGGAAATTCAGGCAAAGAATAATGTGCAAATGAGAACATGATTCAGCGGTGGGGAAAAACAGACAAATACCAGGTGCCTCAAAAGGCTGAATCACAAACAAGACAGTGAAAAGATCTAAGAATGCAGGAGACAATGGAGGAGCTCAGCTTGGCGTTTGTTTATCCCAGCAGGATATGCAGATTCCACCCTCATGACATCACCGCATCATCTCACCTCATCAGTGCCTCATGATACAACTCCTCTTTGTAGCACTGAGTCAATATCACTGTGTGATCTTGTCTGTCCATGCAAGATGGGGAGAAAGGCCGTCCATAATGGTAGAAAGCTGTGACCGACCTCTGCAGAGGTCCCCAAAGGGATTAAAACAATCATGGCCATTTCATGAACTCTCGGCCCAGGAAATATCATGAGCTCAGAAAATTTTTCTGTAAAGTGACAGCACTGTGCTATGGAGGAGCTCCCACAGCAGGTGGAAGAGTAACTAATATTGTGGGTTGAACTGAAGGACTGAGGAACACCTGCACTTAGTTCCTGGAGCTCCAAAAGAAGCTGCAAAGTACCTTTTCCCTGTAAACAAGAGGTACTGCTGAGTCTGCTTGCTGTTCTCTTCTAGCAGCCTGGAGCCTAGAGAAGACTTCTTAAAGCATCACACTTAACATGGAGTACTAACCCTCTGCTCCCCCAAGCAAACAAAAGCTATTTCCTATTTTGGCAAAAGACAAATGGAAAGAATCTAAAGTATGCATACAGGGGGTCAACTTGCAAGAGGCAATGTAAAGATCAGCTTTATGTTAGAAGAAACACAGCCACATGAAGATTAAAATACTGGGCCACTGCCCCTGAGTTTGATCTTTGAACAGTCCCTGGGGCTTGAAACAGAACACTAAAAATGTACCATGCTGCACGTAAGTGGGTAATTCCATACAACAGGGCCAGAAGGAAGAGCTCTTCCTGGAAAACCAGGTCCAGAGGCCAGGAGGCTCTTGTCATATTTGCACATACTAGTCCCTTTGTTGGGGATTTAGGTCACAAGAGCATAGGAAAGGCAGCTCTGAATCACCTGGCTCTTGCACGTGTTGCGTACACATTGTGCAAAGGTTTCTGAACTCAGCCTCATTTCAAGACACGCCCTTTATTTGTTACTTTCTCTTAGGGCTTTTTCGCAACCCCATCCACTGCCAACATAAACAAGGTTGCACCATCTTCCTCCAATCTGTCTTGCTCTGCTCTGCTGTAAATGTCAACCAGCAACATAGCGCTGTTCACTTGCTTAATTAGGCAAAATACGTGTCATTGCAACCCTGTATCTTGACACCCTTCAGGGGAAAGTTTCTTGGGAATGGTAAGTGACAGAACCTACAAGCTGATCTTAGTCACGTTCATACCAGATACCAAGAGTTCTGCACAGCTAGGACTCAGCTTTCCTGAGCAGCCATCAAGCATCTGTAGGGCACAGGGGAAGGTTAGGAAGGGTAATTATCAGCAATCTCAATGTCTAGTGGGAATTGTTTCTGCAATTGCAGTGCTTTTATGTGCACCCTCTGCAGTGTGTAGCCTGTTCAGGGCAGAGAAGATGCTGCCATTTGGATGGCTTTTGTTCAGCTCAGGTAGAACAAATTGTGGGACCTTATTCCATTCCTAATAATTGAGATATCTAGAGTAGATCCCTTCTCACTACAAGGACACCACAACAAACACCCTGTGAGCACTGTCTGTAAGCAGGTAGGAGACATGGCTCTTAACTCCCAAATCTTAACTCCCAAATCTGACTGAAGAGGGGATATCTAGCAAGCCCAGGAAAATAGAGGGTTACATGGTGCCTACACACAGCCATTACAGCTGAGATTATCATGGCTGTGCCAGGACTCCCTGCATATGGTGTGTAAGATGCGTTTGCATCTGACCACGTTTTTGGCATGGCCTCCTGCTTGCTCAGATAGAGCTGTTCTGTGTGTGGGATGGGACAACATCCTGTTATGCTCGTACCTGATGGGTGCACTCACTGTGCTGGACTGTCATTAGCCACCTGAGCCTCTGCCCAGCCTGGCATGCCAGAAGCCAGGCTGTGGGTGGTGCTGCTCACTGGCTGGAGGCGGTTTCTTTTATCAGCAAACTTGATCATGGGGATTTTCTGTTTTGTTCTCTAGCTTCCTTCAGCCTTGGATTTGCATAAGATCCTGGGTTAGGACTAATCTGATCCCAGGATGAGAACATTGCACCAGGCCCAGTGAATCCTCTGTCCCAAACTGTCTTTGGACTGGGTGTGTTGGCACTGGAAACAGAACTGTGTAGGGGGAAACAGTGGCTTGAGTTTTCCTTAGTAATAGGAGGTGCCTTGCTTTGTATCTCATTTAAACTGAAATGTTATGTGCAGGATTGCGGTGGCAACTCCCAATCAAGTCTCTATTTGTTTACAGCCCTTGTTGCCACAGTAGCCAGGTGCTTTCCATGTTCACTCCAGATTGCTGAAATGAGAAGCATGTCCAGCCTCCAGGGCTTGCCAGCAGCTGTTGACTAGTAAGAGCACATTGTCCTTGGTGACAGAAGGTAGCATCTTGCTTTGTCTATGCCTTCCCCAGCATAGGAAGCAGTGGAGAAACAGACATGTCACACTGCATAGGTAAGACTATACATTCAAGTCTCTCTCTGACTTGATCACATGCTGGTGGATGCCCCTGGTTGTAAACAAGTATGTGGTCATGCAGTTCAAGAAGTTAAAGGTAGCAGGTTGCAATAGTGGTCATGACACCTTCTGAGGGGTTCACTAGGCATATGTGTCTGAAAGGCTTTTCTAGGTTCCACTGGATTAAATCTGTGTCCATGCTTGGGGAAGCGGGGCTGGTCACCCAGGCAGGATTCAAAACTACTCTTAAGACTTTAACTGGTAAAATGACAAGCAGAGTCAAGGTTTAACAGTGCCATGTCTCTGATACAGCAACTGCTATCTCTTCTGTTCACCTTTCCATCTGTATGGCCAAGAAGATGGTCCAAGCTCTTTCCTTGCTGAGTGCCAGATAGATACACTTACTTCAAGAACAATTTGACACCCTGACCTGGAGCTGGTTTTGTGAAATACAGACACAGGCATGTACTGTTGCAGAATGTAATATGAACATGAGGTTATGAATGACACTGGGCTGCAACCTGTCCCACAGCCCTAGATCCCTCAAGTCAGCGTTGATCTAATGTACATCAATTATAAAAAGATAGACTACCTCCTAAAAATGGCATGTTCCACTTTCCACCAAGGTGCAACCTTGATCTGTCTCTGTCATTGCAGTATCGGCTGCCCAGCAAGGCAAATACTAACAAACTCTGAAAATGAAGACAGAAAAATGACCAGTGGAATAGTGCTGGTTGGGTCAGAGGTGCTTTTACATGCAAGAAAATCACCCATCCACTCCCGTGAACAATCCTCCAGCTCACAGCTGGTCTGAATGGGTATGTCCTTGGCAATTCAATCACTGTTGTCCCATCGGCTGGAAATGTCATTATTTCAGGCATTATAGTATACACAGGCTCAGCCAAAATGTCACATCATGAAACTAAACTTGCAATTGTCATGATAGGCGTAAACTCCAGTGCTTTATTTTGTATCAGCAATGCTCAAAAGCCAAGGGTTCTTGCATAGGGCATCCGAGAAGTAAATACCCTGTACTTTGCCCAGTTAAAGTAACAGTGGCTCTGCCTCATACCAGAATGTCCATTCCCCAACACCATATTTATTGGAATGATAGGAAAAGAGAAAAAAAACCTGGAGCTTGGG